GATTTATGCACAAAAGCCCTAAGTGGAGAGCACATCAAAAGTTATCAAGGACAGTTCAAATAATGCAAAAAAAAAATGTTTTTGTATTAGGAAACACATTAAATGAAGCTGTGGTACCAATACGTGAGATAAGGGATATAATGAAACAGCCACAGCAGGGCCAGGAGGGTATTTGATAAAATTTGATGCTCGGCCCTTTGGAACACTCTAGAAGAAGAGAAACAGGCAGGTCCTGCTTCGAGGCAACAAACGGAAAGTCTCATCACATGATGGGTACCAGTCCCTCTCAGGCAGGATCTGAGCTAGTCTCCCAGGACCCTGGGGGACGTGCTCTTGTTTCAATGTCTCCCTCTGCAATAAGAAACATGCTGGCCCCCCCAAAACGACATGAACGCCAACTGAGAGCCACTACTATTTGAAAGGAGATGGTTAAGTGATGGTCCCTGGTATGGAAACCCAAGAGAAGCAACGGGAAGCCCTTGAGAGGCAGGCCGAGGGGCACAATGAAGAATGAGCTCACTGTGTCCCTGCCTTCCCCACTGGTTACCCCTCACACGAAGACCAAAGGCAGGGCCAGGTATTCCTTGTGTGAAATACAAACCAGGGGAAAAGGAGTAGCCAAATGCAAAACAGTAACCCAGCAGTCACCAAAGTGTAAAACAACACATGTCAACAGAGAGAAATTCACAGGCTCGAGAGGAATAAAATTACAAATAATAAAGACAGCCACATCAATTGTTAGGAGGACTGAATATTATTGCAGTGTCAGTTTTCCCAAATGATCTAATGGATTTCATGCAATTCCCATCTAAGTTCCAAAAGTGATATTTTTTTCCAACTTGGAATCATTATCTGGTTCGTTGGAAAACATTAGATAGGAAAGAGATAGATATGAAAATCATAAATTAAAATGTGCTATCAAACCATGGCAAGGCATTTGTATAATATTGGGGTCAGAGAAACAGACACAGAACAGGGTGACTGATCAACAAAAGACTCTTCAAGTTCCTGGAGTCTTCTGAGATGGCCCAAAGGAGGTGCCCAGTGCTTGCCTCCATGGCCACAGGGGCAACCAAACCAGCAAGTCCACAGCTGGGTGCCCAGAGCAGAACTCCAGTCCCCTGCAGGACATGAAGGCCCATGGCTGGGAAACCCGGAGGCAGGGGAGGGGTGAGCAGGAGACCCCAGCAGAGGCCCTCCACACGGACCAGCAGCAGGAGGGACCCGCATCAAAGCTTGGAACCCAGGGACAGTCACTTGGTGGGCACTGTAGCCTTGCTCCAGAGAGGGGCTCACAGTGCACCCCCAGTACCCCCATTTTGACTATCATGGTCCTCACTGCTCCAGGGGTCAGGAACCCCTGCATAATCCCATTTCTGGGGCCCCTAGACAGTCCATCCCACCAACCCAAAGTTCAAGAGACTTACTGGGGTTTGAACGAAATGAAAACCCACACATAATGTCTGCATAACGTGCTCTGGCTATACATATCCTCAAGACCAAGGTTCTCAAATTCTTTTTGCAACCCAAATCGATGTACCTTTTCATTTCTTTTCCACCAACCCTTTGAAATACCCTCATACTGGCTCCAAGAGCCCCATCCTCACCTCTGGGAAGTCCATGGGAGAAAACATGGGAAGAGATATTCCCTACATGGATAAGCAAAGGGAGAAGTCACACACACAGATTTTACTGTTTTATATATATATATTTAAAGATACACCGGGATAAAAAGATTTGCAGGGGCCTGGTGCTGTGGCTTAGTGAGGCTGGCTTTGTCTGCGACGCCAGCATACCATATGGATGCTAATTCATGTCCCAGCTGCTCCACCTGCGATCCAGATCCGTGTTATGGCCCAAGTCCTTGGGCTTCTGCCCCCACGTGGGAGACCTGGAAGTAGCTCCTGGCTCCTGGCTTTGGACTAGCTCAGCTCCCATCGTTGCGGCCATTTACGGAAGGAGCAAGAAGATAAAAGACTTATCTGTCTCTCCTCTCTGTAATTATCTATGCCTTTCAAACAAAAATAAATCTAAGAAGAAAAATTTGCAGGATTTTGATGAAAGAGGATCCATAGAGGTCAATAATTTCATCAAATCGGCTCATTACAACAGCAACCAAGCACAAATCAAAATGAGCATCAACTTTTACCTTGAAACTTAATCATATTTCCAAAAAACGAAAACACCTGGGACTGGGGCTGACAGGCACCCTATGTACTGCTTTCCAAAGCCAACAAAGCAAAATGCCTAGGAAGAAATTTGTCACTCCATTTCAAGAACCTTAAACTAAAGCTGTCCTATGATCTAGCAACTCCTCCTTGGGAATCTGTAACAAGACAAGATGCATGTTTGCACAAATCCCAGCACCACTGCCGGTTGTAACAAGAACCTGCCAGTAAGAGTCTAGCAGGATTATCTCATAACGGACGGCAGTGCGGAGTGCAGAGTAGAATCCCACACATCTGCTAGGTAGGACTGTTAAAGAAACACTAAGAGCTGGCATTGTAGCATAGCCGTTAAAGTTACTGCCTAAAACACTAGCCGTCAGCATGGGTGGTGGTTCAAGTTCCAGCTGCTCCACTTCCCACCCCATTCCCTACTAATGAGCCTAGGAAAATACCAGATGCCAGCCCAAGTGCTTGGGCTCCTGCACCCACCTGAGAGACCCGGAAGAAGCTCCTGACTCCTGCCTTCCGTCTGGCTCAGCTCTGGCTACTGTGGCCATCTGGGGAATGAACCAGCAGATGGAGGACTTCTCTCTCCCCATCTCTCTTTCTGTTCCCCTCTCTCTGTAACTCTGCCCTTCAAAAAAACAAATCTTTTAAAACTTTTTAAGGATATATTTATTTATTTTTGAAAAGCAGAGTTACAGAAGGAGAGGAAAGACAGAGACTGTCTGTCCACCAGTTCACTCCCCCCCGGCCACAACAGCCAGACCTGGGCCAGGCAAGAGCCAGGAGCTTCTTCTGGATGGTAGAGGCCCAAGCAGGTGGCCATCCTCCGATACCTTTCCAGGTGTGCTAGTAGGGAGCTGCGCTGAATGAAACTGGAGCAGCCAGGACCCTCATGGGGCCCATACGGGGTGCTGATCTCCCCCATAGCCAGTGCTTTAACCTGTTGTGCCACAACGCCAACCCTAAAATAAAGAAATCTTTCAGCAATAATTCTAGCTCGGTGGAAAAATACAAATGATGCTGGAAACCTCATACCAAAATCCAATGCCTGGCTATTACACATACAGAAAACATAGCTATCAAAGGGAGCTCATGCAGTGTACATGGAGTGTACATTGTGGCACCAACAAAGACCCTCAAGGAGGTGCATCCTTCTGGGATGTGGCAATTCTCTCTCTCTGTTTTCTACTGGCTGCTCTTGGGGGTTTAGACTTAACAGTGCTTGTTAAGGTTGCCCTAAACGCTTCTGGCCAGTAGGCCTGTGCCTTCTCCACCCCACCCCCAGCCTGACCCTGAGGCCCCCCGCCCTGCTCCTCGCCTTGCTTCGCCTGAGCACGAGCCTCTTCCTGCACGGGAACAGGTGCCATCAGCCTCCCGGCCCACTGACTGCATATCCCCTCTACCTGGCTCCACGCAGCCCTCTCCTCCCTTCCTCAGGCTTCCCAGCCCCGGTCCCACAGCCACCGCTGCGGGCCACTCGTGCGTCACATGCGTCCCCTTCCTGCTTTGATCTTCTTGAGCGCTTCCTCTGAGGAGGCCCACATGAGGCCTGCAGGAAGTCCTGGACACGACACTGTCGCCTCTCCCCTCGCCCTTCTGCTGACAACTTCCCAGGGCTCCCCACCCACTTCTAGCCCCTAAGACGTCAGAACCAGCAACACTTCCAGCATGCAAAGCCCTCAGCAGGTGCCTGCTGCGTCCTGGCTATGGACTCTGCATATGACACACAGCCTCCCACATCACCTACCCACCCCCCAGTGACATTCACAGAAAGACAAATAACCCAGTTTTCAAAAAGCGAGAAGAACCTGAACAGACCTTCCTCCAAATACAACAGACAGATGGACAGTGATCAAGTGGCAGACAGTCAACTTCATCAGTCACTGGGAAAATGCAAACTAAAGCCACAAGAAGATGCTACTTTACACCCTGAAGGTGTGTCATGCAGAGGAGGAATCACAACAGAGGAGGAGACAGACAGATCAGGACCCTCGGATGCCACTGATGGGGAGGCGGAATGGGGCAGTGGCCTGGGGAAAGAGTTCAGCAGGTGCCAAAAACCGTCAACAGAAAATAACCAGTGAATACAGAACTCCTGCTCCCTGGTCTGTACAGCCAAGGCTCCTGAGCCCGAGTGTTCATGATGGGATTCATCATAGCCGCAACACAGACACCCAGCACCCAGGGACGGAACAAGCAGACAATGGCCTGGCAATCACTGAGGAGTGACTCAAGCATCACCGTGAGACCTTAGAGCATGACGCCAGGTGACACAGTCCCGATGAAAGGCCACAGGCAGCATGAAATGACACACACATTCCTCAAGGGGCAAATCCTTAGAGACAGAAGGAGGAGTTGCTGCCAAGGGCTGGAAGGAGGTGGGAGGTGGCTGTGGACGGGTAAGGCGGATTCTCTAGAGGGTCTTAAAAAATATTCCAGAATTGAGGTTATGGTATGGATTACACACCAATGCTAACACCCTAAAAACCATGGAATTGTATGAGGATGGTTTTGTGGAATGTGAATTCTACTTCAATTAGAAGAAAAACAAACCACAATCCCCCGAGCCAGCTGCCTCTGTACAGACACTGGGTTGGCACAGGATGGCTTGTGTATGGCCAAGGCTGGGACGTCTGACCTGTCACCTGCATCCTCTTGCCCCTCTGTGCTATATGGCATGGCATGAGTTATGGGAGAGAGGAGCTGGGTTCTAGGTCCTCCATCTCTGGGGCAGGGAGTGGATGACCACGTCCCCCTCCGTGTCACAGGGCCCACCCCCAGCGGGATGGGCTATTCCATGGCGAGGTGCACACAGGTAAATTTTACCTCTCAGAGCCAGAGCTCAGTCCGTGTTGGAAGGCTCGCTCTGGGGTGCTGGGCAGATGGATGGAGCACTCAGAGATACCCACCACGGCTGCTCAGGATGAATGCCCACTGCCACAGTTCATCCAGGGCACGTTCCTCTCTCTTAGTCTAGCATGGGGGTAGGGAGGTGGCACTCAGAATGGGGAGCCCTGTTCAGAGCCTTCTGGCCAGGTCCTGTGGAAACTGAATCTCAGGAGTCCAGAGGCCCCCAGCTCAGTCGCCATCTGTGCCAGGTTCTGTCTCGCTCTTTGTCACCATCAGATGCTGAGAACAGCATCTCAGCTGTTTGCACAAAGATGGTTAGTATGCGGGGTGGAGCTTGGGGAGGATCTGAAAGGGAACTGGAGGCAGGGAGATTCCAGCATGTGTCGTCAGGCCACAGCATGGCTGCTCACCTCTGCTGGACCATGACCCCCTCCCACAGTCCTTCCCTGTGCCCCAGCACCAAGGGTCCCTCCCATTACCATCCCCCCCACACACACACATTGTCTTTCTCCCTCCCCAAATCAGTAACAGGACAAGTGCCAGCTCTATCATTCATCTGCTACACCAGGCATGCTACCTCGCCTCTCGTGCCTCAGTTTCCCCATTGGTGACGGCATGCGATCTGAAGGGTGCCATGGACACTCAATAAACCAGCACATTCAAAGAACAGTCCTGACTGGGAGTCTACAGAGTCACCCTCTCACCTTTGTTGGCAAAGGGAGCTTGCAGGAGTCAGCTTGCTCCACCCGCCTCCAGGGGCTCGTCACAGCAACCCCTTGTTCCCAACAGGCAGCATGCCTTCCCCAGCGGCTGGGGAGGGGTGTGGATGATTGTCCTTCTGGCGTCTTTGGCTGAACTGCCAGGACCACCAGCTGCAGGGCTGCCTGGTGCTCAGCCCGCCCCAGCCTATGGAAGGCCATGTGCTGAGACCATTGGTTTCCCAGCCAGGCAGCTCCCTCTGGCCCAGCAGGGACATCCATGCTTCAGGGCAGCAGCCCACAGACGCGTCGTGTGTAGACATGTTCAACAGGTCAGGGCGCTCACACAGAAAGCACAACTTACACTCCTACACCCCTGGGCCTGCCTTCCAGCTGCACCTGTGCTGCCCCAGCTGCAGGAGGCTGGCCCCAGGGACCCACTGACCCCTAGGGTGACTGACCGTCATTGGCAGTGCCACATCTGCTCTCTTCAGCATAAACCCTCTGCCAGGTGCCCTGGCCCCACATGCCAGAAGGGCACATGCTTGACCACCTTGTGTCCTCTGCTGCGGGCTGGATGGCCCCCTCCAGTCACCCATTGACTCCGTGGGGCCAGGCTGACCCTGCTGGGGGACCTGAGTGAGCAGGGACCAGTGAGAATGACCCAGGCCACATGCAAAGGAGCTTGCTCTCCAGACTGCCCTCTGAGACTCTTGAGCCAGATCAAAGCTTCTTGGCCCAGCAGTAGGCTAAGCAGCTTCTCTCTCTCTCTCCCTCTCTCTGGTGCACATGTACCCCTCAAAGTCCCAAGGCCAGCTTTATCTCCCCCACCATGCCCAGCTCCTTTTAAAGAGTCAAATTCCAACCTCTGCCCCAAGCAGTCCACATGCCCACCCCTTCCCCCACCTTGAGATGCTTCCGGAGCAGGGCTGCGGGTGGGGGTGGGTTGACTGTCTCCTTCCAAGTAGGGTCAGTTACAGGTCAGGCACCTGCCAGGCTGAGCTCAGGGCTGCCGGAGCCCCATGTTCCTGGGGCCTTGCAAGCTGCAGGCTGAGCCCAGGCAGTGCAAGGCCAGGTGCCCACCAGCCCACCGGGAGCAGAGCAAGGAGGGCCAGGGCATTTTCGGAAGTGAATTCCTCGATGTTAAGAGTGTGTGCTCCCATCTGCTTGGTGTTGGAGAAAGCTTTCCTTCAGGAGCTAGGCTATTGGAAGATGATCCAGATCGTGGCTTTGCTGTCAAACCATCTCTTGGCCTCTCACTGGCTGCGCTCAGCCAGGGATGTGCACCCACATCTCCTTTCCAGGCTTTCCTTTCCAGCTGTGGCTCTGCTTGCCAAGACCCAGGGCTTTAGCATGCACCCAGATGGAGAGTCAGAGAGAACCCTGAGTCACGTCTCTAACCTGAGCACCCCCGCCACCAGGCACCCTACAGCCAGGATGTCTTAGCCAGCCCCTGAAGGTGCCAAGCCCTGGACACAGCTGCACATGGGCCAACCTGGGAGACAACCCCTCCTAAGGCCCCTGGTGGTAGTGGGGGCAGTGGGGGGTAGTGGGGGGTAGTGCCCCAGTGGGGGCAGTCAGAAGCCTATAGCCTCTCCTTGCAACATGAGGATGGGGCCCCCCAACAGGAAGCAGGCATGGGGAGGCGGCACTGCTGACTCAGCCAGCCCAGGATGGTGACCAGCTGGCCGGCCTACCAGGAGGCTGGGTGGGTTTCCAGCAGTCCAGCTCAGCCTGTAAACACACTGGCTTCCCCAGCTCCCACCACCAGGAAGGATCATACAGTCCCCTCTCCTCAGTGGCCATCTCGGAGAAGGGGGCGATGGCCTTGGCTTTGGGGACCCTTGCTTTCCTCTGCTGGAGCCCCAGTTTGCTCATCTATGAAGTGGGGTCTTCCTGCAGTTTGGGGTATGGGAATGACATGGGCCCATGCACACAACACACCATGGGGCTGTGTCCCTTTGAGGGCCCTTGCTGCCCACCCAGGGACACCACCTGAGATGGCCAGGTGGACACACCCTTCCGCCCCCTGGGGAGAACACGGTTAGACCACAGCCGCAGGTGCCAAGAACTTCATGAACAGTGTCAGGACAACTGACGCACTCAGCAATGTCCCCAGGCTGCGTGGTGGAGGAGGGGCTGGTGACAGAGACACCCAGATGGGTGGGGACACAGCTGAGTGCCCAAGAGGGAAAGAGGTCGCAGGAGGCAGCTTGTGGTAGGGACCGGGACTTTCTCAGCTCTCCGGACGCAGAGCGTGACTTGTGGGTGAGCCGAAAGCCGGGCCTCCATCTAGCCCGACCTGTGCTCTCTGCTCCCCTCTTTCCCCAAACGAAGGCTTTTCCCTTCCAGGGGCCCCGAGACCGGGAGCGGGAAGGGCCCTCTCTCTGCCTCTTGCCATGTTCACCCTTTCATGGCGCTGTTGAACCTGGCGCTAAGGCTGGCATTTGGGCTAATTCTCCACAGGGCGGCCCGTGGGGAGTCTAGAGCTTCCTCTTAGCCCAGAGGGCCGCTGGGACCTCCTTCCCCCACCCCTGGAGCCCGGGGTGGTGATGCCACCAGGCCTTGGAGCTACAACACCTGCCACGGGCCGGGCTCGCTGGACTCCAAGGCCAAAGTGGGCCTAGGGCGTCCCGCACCCATGCCTGCACACGGCAGGTCCCTCGGCCCCCATCCCTGCACCAGGCCCCTCAGTACTCACAGCACGCAGAGCGCGTAGGCCCGGGAGATGGACTCGCTGGCGCGCACGAGGAAGCTGCCGTCCTTGCCGGTTCTGGAGAGCAGCTCCTCAGCCTTGGAGCGGGTAATGTTGCCGTGGTTCCAGCAGGGCACCATGGTGGCCACGGGCCTCCCCACGCCTGGGGACCCACACACCAGCCCTGGGAGCCACCGCCGCCTGCCGGGGCCGCTCTCAGTGTCGCCTGGGCGGCTGCTGCTCCTACTGCTGCTGCTGCCACCGCTTAACTGACCGACTTCCTGTTTCAGGCGCTCAGCGAGGGAGAGGAAACTGAGCTTCAGCAAACTTCCTCATGACAGAAGCCCAGAGAGAGAGAGGGCCCTTGCAGCCCCTTCTCGTGCCAGTCCCTGCCTACGTTCCCCTCCTCTGCTTCCGAGCCTCAGCCCTCCCAGGCAATCCAGAGCGTTCTCCTGGACCAACCACCAGCCCTCAGGTGCTGGGATATGGGGGCGCACTTCTGCAGACAGTGGCCTAGCAGACATGAGGGGTGGGGGTGGGGGGCTGCGATGGCCTGTTCTGAGGCTCCCCACCCTACTCCTGGCTTAGGCATGGGGCAGAGTTCCCCAGCTGGTCAAGGGAGGGCTAAACCCTGTCCCCATTCCAGGTAGCCTGGAGCTGGACAGCACCTTGCACCTACAGGCTTCAAGGGCCTGTGGCTGGTGCAGGTGACCTGGGCAGCCCACAGTGCTGCCAGGCTTGCAAGCACACGGGAAGCCCAGGGACACGAACCATGGACAGCAAGAGCATGGGCTGGGCTCCTCCTGACGCTGGTCCCACTTCCAGGTAGTTCCTTTGCTTCTCTAAGATGGCCACGATGCTCTTACCCAGAGAATGACCAAATGCCGAAGAGTCTCATTTTCTTGTCATGTAAAGATACTGTTCCCAGTGTGGGCATTTAGCAGAGCTGCCCATGTTCCATATCAGAGCACCCTGGCCTCCGCTCCTGGCTGTAGCTTCCTGTTCCCTGAAGGCAGCCATGATGCTCAGCCGGGTCCATAATGCCTACGTGAGATACCTGGATTAGACTCAGCTGTTGCTGGGCATTGGGGAAGTGAACCCTCAGATGGGAGCATTCTCATGTTCTCTCTCAAAATGCTTTGCCAGATTTGCATAGCCCATGCATAGAAGCATCGTCCAGCCACACTCTGTCCTCTGTGGGGTTGCTGAGCTGTCCGTGGGCTGGCGGCATCAGGGGTGAACTTGGCTGCCCCTCCAGACCCAAAGAATAGGCTTGACCCCTGCATGACTCCCCTGGGGTCCTTTGTGGTGAGCTGTCTTGCTTCCACATGCAAGAGCGGCCCCTGCCCTTCAGGGATGTCTGTCCAGCACCTGGCATGATTCAGGACACCCTGGAAAGGATGGAGGGAGGTGTGGCGAGTGGGTGGGGCAGGTAAGAAGCATTGGATGGGAGACTCCTGAAAACATGAGGGCTTGGATGCTGTCAGCAGGTGTACAGGGCTAACAAACACCTACCCAGGTCACAGGAAGGTCGCAGGAAGATGACCATTCCAGGCTTCTCTATTCCCAGGAGCTACACCCAGAAGAGGCACACTAGCATAATTCTACAAGGGGCTGTTCCTTAGAGCATCTGGTCAACCTACCATGAGTGCTAGTATTTGGAAAGCAGCTGAATCATGGCAGAGGGGTCAGGACTCACGGAAATCCAGTTCCAGACAGGGGCACCACCCCATGATATTGCCAACCCTGGCCAGTCCCAGGCACGAGTGGGTAACTTGGACAGTTGCTGGAAAGTCAGGGTAGCAGACAGCATGAGGGTCAAGGGCGGTCTGGCAGGGACCTGATCATGGTTACTTGGCCACCTCAGAAGCTCAGAGAAGGGATGAATTCCTTGGCAGGCACCAGGGTATCTGGCCCTCATGTGAGCAGTATCAGCAGGTTGCCATTCCTTGGCTGGTCCCCAGAGCAGGTACAGGGCCATGGGAAGACAGTGGCTTCCATGGGAAGACAGTGGGGACAATGGGCAATGGGGACACCACACAAGAACTCCCCAGGGACTTTTTCCATCTAGAGCTTTGGAGCCTGAGAAGGAGCTGGATCCGAGCAGTCCCAGCTGGAGCCACCAGACAGGGCAAGGACAGAGGTCAGGACCACACAAGACGTTTGCACGTGAATACTCTTGCCCACCCAGAGACCCTGCACTGTCCCCAGCTCCCCAGGAGGGAGCAAACCATCACCCATAGCTGGCTGCAGGGCCGGCAGAGAGGAGTGACAGCACAGTATCAACCATGCAAAGGGAGCTGGGATGGTCAGGTGCTAACAGCTGGTCTGCCGCTGCCCATCACACTGCTGTCCGTGAAGCTGTACTGGAAAGGAAGTTAACACCGAAGTCGCAGACTGACTTCACACAAAGTGGTGTGGGTGGCCACACCCAATCACCCAAGGTCTGGATGGAGAAAGACCAGTCCTTTCAAAGAGGAAAGCCACAACTGCCCCCTGCCCCCTGCCCCCTTGCGCCCTGTCCCCCTGCCCCCCTGCCCCCTTGCCCCCTGCCCTGCACAGCGTGAGTCTGTCACCCCCACAACCTCGAGAGCCAGCTCCTTAATGTGCATCCCTGTCCAGCGGTCATCTGGTTATCAAACTTGCACAGAGCTCCTGCACTGAGTACTGTAGCCAACTGCAACATGTTGACAAAATACGGCCCAATAGTGAGCAAGGGGTGCACCTGCAGGCAGCCTTCACCTGCCTCAAGCCTGCAGGGCAGGAGGCTGCCCTGTGAGTCAGTGGGAGAGGGTGGAGGCTGAGGGACTCCTGTGCAATGCAACATGCTTGGAGTATCCTAGACTTGTAAGAGAGAGAGAGAGAGAGAGAAAGAAAAAGAGAGAATGAGAGAAAGAAAAAGAGAAAGAAAGAAAGAAAGAAAAAAAGAAAGAAAGAAAGAAAGATATGAATGAAGGAGGAAGGAAGGAAGGAAGGAAGGAAGGAGAGAGAAAGAAAGAGAAAGAAAGAGAGAAAGAAAGAGAAAGAAAGAAAGAAAGAGAGAAAGAAAGAAAGAA